TGTGTACCTGTCCTCTGTCTTCTCGCCTCTTTTCTTAGAAGTCAACTGTGCCACTTCCCTGTCTGTCTTCACGGTCCCTTCTGGTTGTGAGCCTCCTCCGTCCGCAGCCCCTCTGCGGGACCCACCTCAGCCGCGGACAGCCCTGCTCCAGCAGGGAGCCAGCCGTCTTCACGGAAGCTCTCCTGCCCTCCCCACGCCGCCACGCTGCGCCTGCCCCCATTCACGTGGGGACTTCTGGAAAGATCGGGCTGGCGGGATGTCTTCCTTCTTCACCTTCTCCACACGTGGCCGGGGCCACAGCTCCGCTCCTGACGGCTTCCCTGCACCCACTGTCCCCCGTGGGCAGAGGCTTTGTGAAATGCGGGCCGATTCATGTTCCTGGATTCGAAGCCCTCGAATGCTTTCTCCTTGCCATGGGGACAGAGCCCTGCAGAGGCTGCCCTGCGGGCTCCCGCCCTGTCCGCCTTGGGCCGTGCCAGTCAGGGCGCGGGCTCCGGCAGAGCTTCTGCAGCCCCCCTGCAGCCTGCAGCTGTCTGGTGCCGGTTCGGCCAGCGCGTCAGCCTCACTTCAAGTGTCACCTCCTCCGAGACGGCTCTCTGACCAATTTGTCCAAAACACACCCCTGGAATCACCTTTTTTTCAAAGCACTTATAACAGTCTGTTGTATCTTGTTTGTGTTTGCTTCTGTGAAAAAATACAGTTCAGCCCTGGCCGGTTTGGATCGGTGTTTAGAGCATCGGCCCACTGACCAGAGTCACGGGTTCAATTCCGGGCAAGGGGACGTACCTCGGTTGCGGTTCACACCCGGCCCTGGACAGGGTTGTGTATGAGGCAACCAGTTGATGTGTCTGTCTCTCTCTCCCCCCTCCCACTCTATCTGAAGATAAATGGAAGAATATCCTCAGGTGAAGATTTTTCAAAAAATTAAAGTTCAGCTAAGTAAAGTGGACGTTAAGGATCTTACTGGCTTTACGCAATGATTTGTGCAGCCAGTGTAACGGAAAGGACCTCCGAGGAGCTGTGCAGAACGCAGCCTCGCCGGCACACGGAGCAGGAGCGAGAACTTAACCGGCAGAAAGGGCCGCTGACGGGAGCCCACTTCCCTGGTTTAGGGGACGCGGGCCCGTCAGGCAGCTCCCTGACTCAGGCTCACGGGCTCCCTGGCTGACTAAGACCATTTCTGGGAGAGCCGGAACTGTAACGGACCGTCGTCTTGTTTCTAACACTTCTTTCCGGTCTGTCCTGCTCCACTAGAGTGTAAGTTCTGTGTCCGCCATGAGCTGTGGCCCTGCTCTCTCCACGTGCACGAGAAACCCGTGACCCTCTGCAGTGGGGACATCCCGTCCTAGCGCACAAAGGTTAATGGCATGTTCCCCCACTGGGACCGGACCACCATCGCCACACTCTAGCTCTAGCTACACACGAGTATGCAAAACTGAGGAACGTTGTCACTGGTGCTGGGGAGCGTCCCTGGCCTTGCCCGCTGATTGACAGGCCTCTCCGCACTCCGTGTCAGCCTGTGCCTCATCCCCTTCAGAGCATGGTCAAGGACGGTGTCCAAGTGTCAGCCAGCTTCTTCCGAACATGGACCAGCAATTAGGAACACAGGCCCTTAGGTTAGACTCCCTGGGATGAAGCTCACTCCTCTGCTGACATGTGCAGACTCCGGGCAGGCCCTTCACTGCTCTGTGCCCCCCAGTCCTGGGCTGGACAGTGAGACACTCAGCCGCTGTGCCACGGGGCTCTGCTCTCCAGCACGAGGGGACTGGCCCACAGAGCTCCGCTCCCCACGGCCTGACGCTCTGTCCACAGGCTTCCACGGCGCTCTGCCTGCGCCCTGGGCACTCCATGGGTCCCCCGGCGTGGGCTGCGGGCTCTGAAGCAGCAGGGATGCACCTGGTAGGACCATGTCACTGTCATTGTGATAGAACGACTTAGGACACGGCAGTGCCCCAGGGCACTGGGGTCTGCATCAAAAGGAGGGGAGTCAGTGAAGCATGTGTGTTACCAACTCCATTTATTACCCACAGGCCAGGGAGGGTGGCTCTATGGCCTACACTCCGAAGCCCTGTTCAATGTGACGGGACCAGTTCCTGCCTGGTCATTACAGCAGCTCTCGGCCTGTCTCTGTCTCTCTGCCTGTCTGTCTCTCTGCCTGCTTCTGTCTCTCTGCCTGTCTCTGTCTCTCTGCCTGTCTCTGTCTCTCTGCCTGTCTGTCTCTCTGCCTGCTTCTGTCTCTCTGCCTGTCTCTGTCTCTCTGCCTGTCTCTCTCCCTGCTTCTGTCTGCCTGTTTCTGTCTCTCTGCCTGTCTGTCTCTCTCCCTGCTTCTGTCTCTCTGCCTGTCTCTGTCTCTCTGCCTGTCTGTCTCTCTGCCTGTCTCTATCTCTCTGCCTGTCTCTGTCTCTCTGCCTGCCTCTGCCTGTCTCTGTCTCTCTGCCTGTCTGTCTCTGCCTGTCTCTGTCTCTCTGCCTGTCTGTCTCTGCCTGTCTCTGTCTCTCTGCCTGTCTCTGCCTGTCTCTATCTCTCTGCCTGTCTCTCTGCCTGCCTCTGTCTCTCTGCCTGCCTCTGCCTGTCTCTGTCTCTCTGCCTGTCTGTCTCTCTGCCTGCTTCTGTCTCTCTGCCTGTCTGTCTCTCTGCCTGCTTCTGTCTCTCTGCCTGTCTGTCTCTCTGCCTGCTTCTGTCTCTCTGCCTGTTTCTGTCTCTCTGCCTGTCTGTCTCTCTCCCTGCTTCTGTCTCTCTGCCTGTCTCTGTCTCTCTGCCTGTCTGTCTCTCTGCCTGTCTCCATCTCTCTGCCTGTCTCTGTCTCTCTGCCTGCCTGTCTCTGCCTGTCTCTGTCTCTCTGCCTGTCTCTGTCTCTCTGCCTGCCTCTGCCTGTCTCTGTCTCTCTGCCTGTCTGTCTCTGCCTGTCTCTGTCTCTCTGCCTGTCTGTCTCTGCCTGTCTCTGTCTCTCTGCCTGTCTGTCTCTCTGCCTGCCTCTGCCTGTCTCTCTCTCACACATACACACGCTTAAAACTGTATTCTAGCCCAGCCGGTGTGGCTCAGTGGATGGAGTGTCGTCCCATGGACTGAGAGGTCCTGGTTCCATTCCCGGTCAGGGCACATGCCCGGGTTGCAGGTTCGACCCCCAGTAAGAGGAATGCAGAAGGCAGCCGATCAATGTTTCTCTCCCTTCCTCTCTCTCTCAAAAAAATTAATAAAAACATATTTTTTAAAAAATGTATTCTAACTCCTATAAAAATGTATACCGTTTGTCAGGCTTTTAATATAAACTAACTCCATTTTTATTTTTTAGTATGAAACTTAAAATGTCCAGTTTTCTCTTTAAAGTTCAACACATTTTGAAATAACCTCAGACCAGAGTTCTAGACTGTTATCCGTTTTCTACGGCTGTGTGTTCAATTCATCCATACTTAATGTGACCGTGGTTTTTAAGCAACTTGTCTTTACTGGGTCTTTCAGGTAGATTTTTCAAGAAATTAACTCCCTGTTTTCATGTTAACTCACTGGTTTGCTTACTATTAAATGATATCGATACAATATTACAAATTGAGCGCACAGGTTCTGGGAGAAGCAGAGTGGACGGGACCGTGCAGACAGCCTGTCAGCTCCGTGAGCAGGAGTCAGCATGTTCCACACATGGAAATACAGACGTTTCATTAACTGGAAATACCGGGCAGAACTATTGAACTGCCAACTTATACGCAGTGAAAAATCACAACTGCAGATCCCAGTTTGGCCAGCAGGTGGCAGGTGCGGCTCATCAGCTGGTTTTGACAAAAGAGTTGGCAGGAAGCTGAGCCTTGGCCAACGTTAGCCGCCTAAGAAAGGGCGAGCGACCTCTTTGGCCTTTCTTATGTTATGTGAAAGCCCTCTGGCCTTTCTGTTCCTTTGACAGCCTGGAGCCCGGACTAGAAGACATTGGTGTTCCCACGTACCTGGTTTCTCCTCTGGGTGGGGGGTGGGGCCCATGCCCACCTTCCTGTGTGGTGAGGAATCAGTCACCTCGTATTCTCTTTCTCCTTGAAACAGGAGAAATCTGGGTCCCCGGGCAGCCTGCTGTGAGGGCAGCGGCTGCGAGGGAGCAGGTCCTGCGGGCCACCAGGTCCTGTGGGGCACCAGGTCCCGCACTCTCCAGCAAGCCCGGCGGCTGGCACCAGCACCGCCTGGAGCCAAGGCCCTGCCTTCAGCGCACTGGGGCAGTTCAGGCTGCCCGGCTAGATGGGCGCTGGGCCTCAGTGACTGCTCCAGAGACAGTGGTCAGAAATGGGGGCACTTTGGGGACCCCACCCCCACAGAACCATTGCAGTTACTGCTCCAGGAAGTGAGAGGTGCGATGTGGGGACACGGCAGCGGGAAGGCAGCAAGGCTGGCACTGCCCATGGCCCGGAGGCCAGTCCTCTCCTGGACGCGGCTGCTTTGGTGCCCCGTGGCCAGGAGCTCTGGGCTGTGTGTGTGTGTGGGGGGGGCAGCGAAGGCTTTCTTGAGGGACTTGCCCTAGTTGGAGCTTTGAAAGGAGCGGGAACTGGAGGAGGAGGGGAGATGGGCACTGGAGAAGGATTCGCACTAGGCGGAGGGAGCCTGCCAGGGAGATGGGCACAGCCCGCGGCAGGGACACCTGAGGACAGAGGAGGTCGCAGCACCCTCTCCAGACCCCCGGCTCGCCCTGCACGGTCTGGGGCGCAGAGGCGGGGCAGCCCCGTGTGGGGGCCAGGCCCCAGGAGCGGTGCAGTGGCAGGACACCCCAGCTGCGCAGGCTCAGGCCGCTCCGGGTGGGGGAGGAAGCCGTCCTGCCTTGAGCCGGGATGACAGCTGAAAGCACATGGGTTCGCGTGATCCAGCTTCGGTGACACAATTCTGGGTGCTCCTCAGGGAGCGTCACAGCCCGCTCCGGCGCTCCACCCACGGGACCCCTTGGGGACTCCCAACCCTGATAAGGGCAGCAGGTAATGCCCACCCTGCATGACCATAAAGGAGTCGAGCATCACACTTTCAGAGCAGATTTAATAAAGAATGCACAGTGTTCCCAGTGGGCTACTTGGATCCCAGGTGCCATCTGCTTTGGGGGCCAAGGGCCTGTCCCTTCTGACACCTGCCAAGCCCCTCAGTCACAGCAGCAGTATCCAGAGCCCCTGAGGGGCCCCGGCTTCCGGCAGCCCCCGGCCAGGTGTCAGGGCCCCTTATCCGCCGGCTCCGGAGCACCTGGCACCGCGGAGGCCGGGCCCACACTGCAGGGCTGCTGGCTCTCCCAGCCCAGCCACCCTGGCTGCTGCGGGGGTGGAGCAGCACGCAGACCTGCACTCTACTTCGGGGTGCTCGCGCCTCTCGCCCCAGCAGCCAGGCTCCCCAGGGTGGAGAAGAACTCCTCCATCTCCCTCTGCAGCAGCTGGTTCCTCTTCTCGGCGTCCTCCCGCGCCCGCTCCGAGTTCCTCAGCTTGATCTGCAGCATCCTGTGCTTCTGCTTCTCCTGGCCCAGCTCCTCCTCCAGCCGCGACACGCGCTTCCGCAGGTCGGCAGTGCCATCTTCCAGTCTTCGAGATGGAGAAGAGAGACACTGTTTCAGACTCCACCGTGCTGGGTTTGCCAAGAGAGCACCAGGTTGGCACCGCCTGCTGCACCCCTGCTGGACACGCGCTGCTCGGGCCCCCTCTGCTCCCCCCGACCCGGTGCCCCACCCCGGACACGCCACTGTGGAAACTCCGGCCTCTGGTGCTCCAGGCTCGGGTCCCCCCCACCCCGAGTCCTCACTACAGCATAAAGGCCACCCCCACTCTGGGCCAACCCCTGTCCCGCTGGCAGAGGGCAGGCCGGCCAGTCCCCTCCAGCTGCCCCCACCCCGCAGCCAGACACAGCAACTTGCAGGAGACCCCATCAGCTGTCACTTCCACTCCTACTGGTCCTTCATGTCCCAGCACTGAGACGCTTCTCCATCCCCCAGCAGGTCACCTGGTTGCCCCTTCACACTACTCGAGTGACACTGCCCGCTCTGGCACAGGTGTCCGCTCCCGCACAGGTGGGCCCTGCGCTGTGCACAGGTCCCCGCTCCGGCACAGGTGGGCCCTGCGCTGTGCACAGGTCCCCGCTCCCGCACAGGTGGGCCCTGCGCTGTGCACAGGTCCCCGCTCCGGCACAGGTGGGCCCTGCGCTGCACAGAGGTGGGCCTGGCCGTCTTGTCAGCCGCCAACCAGCTCCTGTTAGGCCTGAGGTGTGCACGGAGCCAGACACTGGACACTGGCCTGGCCCTTTATGAGACACACGCCTTTGGGCAGGACACAAGTCCCCTGAGCCCTGGTGTCCTCTTGCGAGAAATACAGGGACAGCCTCTTTCACGCTCTGTAGCTACGATGGACAGGCCACGTGTACACCTGTTCCATGGCTTGTGAGGAGCAGATGTTAACTCCCCGCCCCAGAGGACGAGGCCACGCCTCCATCTCAATCAGCGAACTCAGCACAGAGAAGGGAGAAAGCCTCCCTCCGCCCAGCCGGGAGCAAGGACATGCTGCTGGAGAGAAGGGCCCCAGGAGGCAGCAGCCCACCTCCCCCACCGCTTCTGCTCCAGCCCAGACCCGAGCTGGCCAATCCTTCCCTGCCCGCTGGTGCCCTAGGGCTCAGGGCCAGGCCTCCCCTCTTCCTCTCCACGACACCCCTCGGGGGACCTGTTCCAGTTCCAGACTCAGTGACCCTCAACCTGTCTATCTCTCAACTCCACTTAAACTGAATAAGTATCTCCAACTTCACAGGTCCACAGGGGGGCCCAACCTCCTTCCATCTCCTCCTGCAGCTCCGGCCGCCCCCCACCCCCCCTTAACCACCTCCTTCCATCGCCCCCTGCAGCCCAGCCCCCCGGTGAGCACCTCCTTCCATCGCCCCTGCAGCCCAGCCCCCCGGTGAGCACCTTCTTCCATCACCCCCTGCAGCCCAGCCCCCCGTGAGCACCTCCTTTCATCGCCCCCTGCAGCCTAGCACCCCCCCCCCGTGAGCACCTCCTTCCATCCCTCCTGCAGCCCCTCCCCCCCAGTGAGCACCTCCTTCCATCGCCCCCTGCAGCCCCAGCCCCCCATGAGCACCTCCTTCCATCCCTCCTGCAGACTCCCCCTCCCCCCCTTCCATCCCTCCTGCAGCCCAGCCCCCCGGTGAGCACCTCCTTCCAGTCACTCAGCCAAACAAACACCACAGCTGATCATTAGCAAAACCTTCCAGATCTGTTCAGAATCTGGCTCTTCTCCCACCTCGCTGCTGCGGTTCGGCTCAGGGCGCCCATTCTGGCCTGGAGCCCCGTGGCCTGGCCACTGGCCTCGCTCAGGACAGCAGCCAGGTGGGCCCGAGAGAGCAAAGTGCTCAAGGCCTCCAGTCCATCAGAACCTACCTGGGAGTAAAATCCAGGGCACGCTGACCACAAGGGCCCGCCCTCTGCCCCCACCCAGCCCCATTCTCACTCCCGGACCTGCCCACTCAGCTCCTGCCCTGCCCACTGTCGCCCTCTGGCGTCTGCACCTGGCCTTGCTCTGGCCCTTCCTCTGCCTGCAGTACTGACTGGAGGGTCCTCTCCCACCCTCTCCCCACGCTCCCCTCCCCTCCACCCTGTTTTATTCTCCTCCTCTGCCTAACCTTCTAAGAATCCACGATTTGAAATCCATCCTGTGTATGGTCTGTCTGGGCCCCCACAACTACAAGGTAAGAATGAGGACAGAGTCCAGCCGGTGTGGCTCAGTGGTTAAGCATCGACCCTGCACCAAGAGGTCACCGTTTCAATTAACGGACAGGGCACATGCCCAAGTTGTGGGCCCGGTCCCCAGTGGGGGCGTGCAGGAGGCGGCCAATCGATGTTCTCTCTCATCGATGTTTCTATCTCCCTCTCCCCCTCCCTTCCTCTCTCTCTCTAAAATCAATTTTAAAAAAAATTGTTTTTAAAAGAATGAGGACAGAGACTTGATGAGTGTTGGTCACAGCTGTGTCCCCAGCACCTAGCACTATCTGGTACAGACAGACATGCCCACCCAGACCAGACCGAGCACTGACTCCACAGGTCCCGCATGTGCAGACACGACAGGGGTGGCTGCTGCCCTTTGCCTCCGGGGTCTCATCTTACCTCCACCCACCAGCAGGAGTAAGGAGAGCAGCCTCTCCTCTGTGCTGCTCACACCCCCACCGGGTCACTTGACCCTCACAACAAATGTGTGAGGTCACCGGAGCCCAGAGAGCCTCCTGGGGCACTGCCGACACACGGTGGGGCAAGGACGTAACCCCAGAGGTGTGGCCCAGAGCCCACCACGAAGCAACCCGCGTCCCCAGGACACCAAGCCTCCGGAAGGAGAACCTGCGGGCTGCCTGCGGCGACCCTGCCCTGGACCCTGTGGCTTCCCTGCGTGGGCTCCCCTCCAGCGGGACACCTTCCTCCAGCCGTGGCACCTCCACGTTACCCTGCCTGGGAAGCCCACTTGCACTTGGGGGTTCCCACAGCCTGGAGTCCCGGCGTCTTCTTTCTCCTTCTTGCTCAACTTCGATCCCTTAAGTCCTGGCTCAGACATGACCTGCCCTGACCTCCCTGACCTTCCTCGTGGCAGAGGCCTGCTCCTGTCGTTTGTCTGCCAAGGACACGCCCCTGCACACACCCCACACGCGGGTGGTAGAATGTGCTTTCAGAACAGAGGGCCAGACGCTGCTGCAGCTCCGGGTGGAAATCGCGGGCTCAGAACTGGACGCACGGATCTCTTCCAGCCCCACTGTCCCCGATGGAGAGGGAGCCCAGAACCCGCTGACACCCTCGGCGAGTGGGTGAGGACCCCCCTCCTGGCTCAGACCGCTGGACCAGGCATCCGAGATGCTGCCGGAAGCACCGCGCGGCCTGGCCTCTGGGAGCTGACACACCCTCCTCCCCGTGGGGCAGGGAGGATCAGGTGGGGCTATGAGCAAGCTCACAGGGCTGGAACGTGACACAGGGGTCCTCCTGTGGCCAGGCAGGTGGGAGGCTTGGCTCAGCTCCGCCAGCTCCCTCCCGGGGGAAGCCGCATGCACCACAGGCCGACCACTGTCGGCCAGCCCCGCTGGCCTGGGGCCTGCAGGACACGTGGGGGCCTCCCCAGTGCCCAGGCACACCTCAGTAGCCTGCATCCTACCCGACGGCACACGCAAACCCCGATCTCAGCCCTCCGTCAAGGTGCTCTAGGCGGCTCAGGCCCAGATTCGGACTCCTTCCTGCAGCAGGTGTTCATGGGGCTGCTCCCAAGCTCCCCCAGACACAGGCAGCCCCCAACCTGTCCTCGGGCCACTCTCCCAGAAAGGTGACTTCTGAGCGGACCACTCTGAGGCCGGAGGCTGAGGGCAGGCCCAGCCGACAGCCTTTACCTTTTCACACTCAGCTCGTAGTCCGTCCTCTGTCGGCACAGCTCGGCCCGCAGCTCGGTGACCAGGCCCTGGAGGGCCCTGGAGCGGTGCGCGTGGTCCAGCCCCGGGCTGCCCGGGTCGCTGGGCTCGCTGCTGCTCAGGCAGACGCCCACCTCGTCCAGGCTGTGACCCAGGTCTGGGGACCGGCCGTCCTCGCTGCTGCTGGGGAAGGGGGAGGGCTCCAGGGCGCCCTCGGTGTGCAGGGAGCTGCAGGCAGAGCAGTCGCTGGCCCGGCAGGCGGTGCAGCTGCTGACGGAGCCGCCGGCGGAGGCCTCGCAGGAGGCCCCGGACCACGTGGTGCTGGGCTCGCTGGGGGTGCTGGGGGCCAGGCTGGGCGTGGGCACGTTGTCGTAGGTGGACAGTCTCTGCGCGGAGCCGGAGTCCTTGAGCCGGTCCCCCGAGGAGGCCCGGCGGTGGCCGCGCAGGGAGGACAGCCCGTTCATGAGCCAGTTCCCACCCGAGGACACTATGGGCACCTCCAGGGACGCGCTGCCCGCTTTCGGGCTCCCTGACCGGGACCCCGACTGCCGAAAGGAAGACTTCCAGCTGGGCAGCGTCTGCACCCTCTTCCCGGGGCCCGGGGCGCAGTTTCTGGAGAGCGCGGCCACGGCGGGCCCGTCCAGGGACGCGGTCCTGTGCGCGGGCAGCCCGGGGGCGCTGGGGCTGCTGGGCTCCGCCTGGCTGTGCCCCGGGCCCTCCTCCCAGCCCCAGGCCGCTGTGCACGGCGGGGCCCCCTGGGGGGCGGCCGGCCCCTCCGCCGTCCGCACACTGAAGAGCTGGCCGTGTTTGCGGATCAGGACCGTCATCAGGTGCTGGACGAGGGACGTGCCTGTGGAGAAGACGGACCAGAAAGGCCTGGTGTGGATGACGCCAGTCCAGGCCTCCAGACCGGCAGGGGGCGCTGCGGCTCGGACCCAGGCTGCAGCCCAGAACCAGGCTGCCCTCGAGAGGGAGCTGCCAGCTGCCACCCTCCAAAGCCAGGCAGAGACAGAGGGTGCTGCCCAAGAGCCCTTCCTTGGGTCGCCATGGGGCTGGAGCACAGAGGAGGGTCCCCAGCCCACTGCACCAGGTCATGTGGGAACACAGGCACAGTGCCCACAGAGGCTGTGAGGTGAGCACGCGGCTGGGACTGGAGACCAGAACCTGCTGTCAGAGCCTCGGGCTGCCCAGGTCACACCCCTGTGCTGCCAACGACGTGTGTGCCGACTACCCACGCTCTTGGGCACAGGCTCTGGGGCAGGGACTCGAGAGGTCTCACAGGCGCATGTGGGCACACACACCCAGTCACACACATGCTGGTACCTTCCATGATGGTCACTGGGTCTTCTATCTGTGGCCGCAGTATATTGGGTCCAAACACGGTGGCCAGGTTCTGCACGCTCATCTTGTTGAGGTCTGAGTGGGACTGGACTTCATCCAGAAACCTGCCGAGTAAGGCAGAGGCAGCTGGCAGAGAAGCAAATGCTGATGCCAGCCCTGCTGGGAGCTGCCTGGCGCCACACCCAGCCACACCCACATGTGCCCACGGTCGCCGGGCACAGCCGGCCAGCCCTGCCTGCTCGGAAGAGGGCAGAGCTGCCCCCAGGGTCAGGGTTGGGGGGCATCAGAAGCAAAGCCAGGGGGACATGGTCCCATCGTCAGCATGGAGGGAGGACACATGACTGTCCTACCTGCAGTGGGGGCAGATGTCTGGGAAGGCAGAGCCCCCAGGGTGGGACTGGGCTGAGGGCCGCCCTGGGCTGGGGTCATGGTCAGGAGAAAGGCCCCTGGCAGAGGGGACTTCGAGGCACCGAGAGGAGGCAGAGAGCACGGGGCATGTCCCTTTCTGCCTGAATGAGGCACCCAGGACTGTAACACAGCCCCCAGGGGCCGGTGGGCCGGCTGTGCCCAGGGCCGAGTTCATCAGCAGTCCCTGTGGGCGGGCTGGCGGACCCTCGGGAGCAGACCGGGGTGGGGGAATGACCCAGCCACTGCCCGCCACTTACTTGCAGATATATCTGAGCAGGTTGTAATTGGCCAGGGGCAGGCTGCTCACTTGCTTAGCCAACTCCAGAGTCCCCTTGGTATTGAAAGAGAAAAACAGCACTTCTGAGACCAGCGACTGGCCCTTCTCTCGCTGGGGGGAACACAGGGGAGTGGGCATAGAGGGGGGACGTGGGCAGGGGTGAGGGTGGCAGGTCCCAGAGGCCACACTTCCAGCCATCACTCGGCCCCAGGTGACCAGAGGGCACCACCAACTCCACCTCTGTCTGAGGAGTGAGGAGGGGCCAGGCCTCTGGCCTCCCGGGAGGCAGTTCTCTGGGGACCGGTGTGTGGGGTGTGCCTCTGCACAGCCACAGAGGAATGTCAGGGCCAGTGCTTATCGAGACACAAATATTTGCCAGATAAAGACCCTCATGGCCCCCACGGCCGCAGGGAGGGCAAACAGTCCCTCCCCAGCCAGGCACCTGGGGGGGGGGGGGCGGTGTCCTGCCTCAGATTCTTTTGGAAGGAGGCAGGATGCAGAGGAAAGGTCTGGTTGTTTCTGAACTCAGGCCACCTGGGTAGCTGGAAGCCGAGTGGAGGACCGGTGGTGAGTCCTGGGCACGACCAGAGAGCAGCCCCTGTGCCCCCAAGTCCGAGGCCTCACACAGGGAGGGCCCTACAAAGGGGACGCTCCAGGCTCCCCCAGCAGGATGCGCCTGCTCCCACCCCAACACACACAGGCTGCCACAAAAAGTGAAGGTCAGAGTTTCCTGTCCTGAGTCCCCACCCCCGCCAGGCCCACCTCCCAGGACCAGTCCTCAAGAACCACTAACCTCCCCCTCGTCCTTGGTGAGCAGCTGGGCGCAGCTGAGGAAGTCCTCGTACCTGGCGAAGGGGACCACAGGCTCAGGCAGCTCCCGCAGGTAGAGCTTCAGCAGGGAGGCCACCGTGTGCACATCTGTGGTGCTGCCAGCAGGGGGACACGGGAGAAGCATGGGTGCCGGGAACTGCAGGGGCGACCACACTTCCCCACCGGGGCAGCCTGTGCCCTCACGTCCTTGCACAGGTGTGTGCGTGTGTGTGCATGGGTGTGCACGGGTGTGCGGGTGTGCACAGGTGTCTGTGTGCACGCGTGTGTGTGCACAAAAAAGAGGGGTGCAGATCCCTGCCCCTCGTCAAGGAAAGGCCCAGGCTGCTTCCAGGGGTCGTGCACGGGGGGGGGGGGGCCCGGAGGGGTGGAGCTGGAGCCCCTGCTCAGAGACAACCCACAGCCCAGGCCCTGCTCAGAATGCGTCCTCAGGACCCTCCCTTCAAAACCCACAGGGCCCTGCGGGTACAGCTGCTCCCTGCCGGGCTTCCCTGCATGGGAGGAACCATACACCACCCCACCCACTCACAGAGGAGCAGCCCTGTGACAGCTGGTCAGGGAACCAATGGGTGTGAAGGGTCCCCTTCTGGGCCTGGTGGCTGCCCCGTGACAGTGACATGGGAGCCAGGGTGCTCCCGGGAGGGTAGGGGGTGGGGAGCCAGGGACACAGCAGTCCTTGCCCAAGCCTGAGCGCACATCCCCTTGGATGAAGGGGAGGGCCGTGTCAAAGTGGAGGCTGGGGCACTGGCCCCCAGGGCCGGGCAGGTCAGAGGTCAGACCCTTGCCCCTGGCTTCTGGGTTCCAAGCACACAATGGACACCTGGGCTTCTGTGCTCCTCACCCTATTCCCAGCACCCCAGCACCCCACATGTCTGCTCCCGTCCTCAGTTCCCTTCTTCCCGCTCAGAACTGCCTGGGGGCGTGGGCTCCGCGGAGGGCAGCGGCCCTGCGTCTGGTCCTGGTCCTGGTCCTGGCACTGCCCCTAAGCGAGTCTGCCAGGCAGGGCCTGGGCTTGGTGACCGCAGCCCTGCTGGTGCTGGTGTTCACTTGTTAGCCGTCTGAGCGGCTCCTGGGGGCCACAGCCATGGCTGCAGGGTGCCCTCGGAGTGAAGTGAGAAAGGGCTACTGAGAATCGCTGGGGCAGGCAGGCTCCGGTGCAAAGGAGACTCCTCCAGGCCTGGCAGCACGGTGCACCGGCCTGGGAGGGCTGCCCACACCCGGCAGCACGGTGGATTGTCCTGGGAGGGCTGCCCCACACCCACCCGGCAGCACGGTGGATTGTCCTGGGAGGGCTGCCCCACACCCGGCAGCACGGTGGATTGACCTGGGAGGGCTGCCCCACACCCGGCAGCACGGTGGATTGACCTGGGAGGGCTGCCCCACACCCGGCAGCATGGTGGATTGTCCTGGGAGGGCTGCCCCACACCCGGCAGCACGGTGGATTGTCCTGGGAGGGCTGCCCCACACCCGGCAGCACGGTGCACCGGCCTGGGAGGGCTGCCCCACACCTGGCAGCACGGTGGATTGTCCTGGGAGGGCTGCCCACACCCGGCAGCACGGTGGATTGTCCTGGGAGGGCTGCCCCACACCCGGCAGCACGGTGGGTTGTCCCGGGAGGGCTGCCCCACACCCGGCAGCACGGTGGATTGTCCTGGGAGGGCTGCCCCAGGCCCAGGGTCCACAGGCGGGGAGGGCTGGGCAGGAGCAGCCCAGGTGAAGGCTTCCAGGTGCTGGGCTGTGTGAGTTCACCGTCATGCAGAGAGTGAGTGTGGGTTGTGCCCAGCAGGCGGTGAGGGGAGTCGCCCTGGACCCCTCTGTCAGGGAATGATGGGAGGCAGGAGCTTGGGACCTGTGGCAGGAGGTGGGCTTGCAGGGCCAGAGGACACCATGGAGACGTGAGAAGTGGGAAGGAATGGAGTGAGACACCGCAGGGAGCAATTTCTAGCCGAAAAGCACCCAGACCCAGTGTCATGGTGAATTTCCAGGAACAACAGAGGGCATTATTAGAGATAATCTCCAGCCACAACCCTGGACCACCCGGGCCCAGGATGGAAGAGGCCTGGCTGGCAGAGGTTCAGAGTGGACCACAAGGTCAGAGTATCAGGATGCAGCTTCCCGAGGCTCCAGGGGAAGGGACCCCTGTGCCTCGTGGGCAGACCTCTGGGGAACGGTGGTCAGTCTCAGGCCCCACATCTGAAGAAAGAAACTGCCAGACCCCTGGCTGCGGTGAAGGGGCCGGGGGGAAGCTGGAGGGACTGGGGTGCTCTGCCCCAGGGGACCTGGGGAGGCCAGGGCGGCTGGGAACCTCTCCTGGGGCAGGCTTGGCAGAGGAAGAACTTTCTGTGTAAACTGTCCCGAGTGGGCACGGTCCTGTCAGAGATGGGAGCCCTCCAAAGAGCCCATCTCCCCCGGTGCGGCCACTGGGCTCTTAGCGAGGTTGACCCCACCCAGGGGGTGAAGCCCAGGACCTGGTAAGTCGGCGATGGGTTAGGACGGGCACCCAGCACAGGTGGAGCGGACTCCCCATCCCGAAGGCGGAGGGGACTGGGCCGTGGCTGCTCCGCCTCAGCACTGAGGGGCTGGGGCAGGTCACCCGGAGGAGCAGGGCCCGAGGTCCTGGATGGAGCAGCAGAGGCCCTCTTTCCTCCTGCCTGGGCCAGGTGGGGGGACACCCGCAGAGGAAAGAGCCCACGCGTGGCCTGTGGCAGGACCTGCCTGGAGACCACGGCTGCCAGGGAGCCTGGGGCCTGTGCTGTGCCCACGGCGAGAACTGGCTCAGCACACACGCACAATGTGAGGACCCGTCCTGCCCACCATCCTGCTGCCAGGCCTCCCGGGCACCACCCTGCCCTGCCCTGGGAGCTGGTGCCCTGGGAGGAGCCCCGCAGAGGGATAACAGCAGATGGCCCCATCTTCACCCCCCAGAGCTCACCTGTCGAACAGTGGCTTCTCCCCACAGTCAAAGGAGTCCTGCAGGTCCCTCACCAGGGTGGCCTGGCCCGGCATGCGGAAGAGGCCCTCCTCGGTGAGCCCACGCTCGCGGATGAAGTCCACGCACTGCTCCACCAGCAGGGGGGCCAGGCGGGGGCCATACTTCCGCTCGTGGTGCACTATGTCCTCCAGGCGCTGCCCAAAGATCCCTGCGCACAGAGAGGACCCGGTCACACCCTCCGCTCTCCAGCTCCGTGTGAGCAGGCTCCTGGGGCACGGAGACGGGCCGCCAGGGCCCAAGGCGGCTGCTGCTGAGGGAGCAGGTTAGAGACTAAGGGGCACACCGGGCAGCTGGAGGCCGGGCCGCCTGGGACAGGGAGCAGGAGGGCACAGGGACAGGTGGCCTGTCCTGTGCAGCTCCTGCAAGTCTGAGGAGCTTTAAAGGGCCTTGAGAATGTGCATTATGCATTTTATTGACTAGTTTATTTATGCACCACTAACCTCCAAGGAGAAGTGGCTTACATTTAAAAATTCAAGACTATGTTCTCCAAAAGACCTGCTCTCGAATGTTCTGAGCAGCACAGCTCACAGTCGCTCCGCGGGGAGACCACCAGTGCCCGCCGCAATGCAGTGTGCGGAGCCGCAGGCCCACGCAGGCCCACGCAGGCCCACGCACCGCCCGCTCGTGGGGCGAGCGCAGCCGGACGCAGCGGGCGGAGCGCGCGCCACAGGGTATGGGTGAGAAAACGCAGTCCTGACTCAGCATCACCGATCATCGGGGAAACGCAAAGCAGAACCACGGGAGACACCACGAGGGCGGCGATTGTTGAAAAACACAGAAAGTCACGAGTGTTGGCTGCAGAGAAACGGAAACCCGTGTGCGCTGCTGGTGAGAATGGAAAAGGTGCTGACTCTGCAGATCCGTCTAAAACAGAGCAGTGCCACCTCTCGCATATGCCCAGGATCCCTGAAAGCAGACCTGAACGTATCTCTATACACCCAAGTTCACATTATGAATATACTTTATGCCACCAAGCTGTACGCTTAGAAATGGGGACGATGCACCTCACACCTGTCAGAATGGCCGCCATCAACAAATCATCAAACCAGTGCTGGCGGGGTGTGGAGAAAAGGGGACTCTAGTGCACTGCTGGTGGGAATGCAGACTGGTGCAGCCACCATGGAAAACTATATGGTGTCTCCTCAAAAAATTAAAAATGGAACTGCCATTTGACCCAGTGATCCCACTTCTAGGAATATACCCTAAGAAGCCTGAAACACCAATCAGAAAGAATATATGTACCCCCAGGTTCATAGCAGCACTATTTACAATAGCTAAGATCTGGAAACAGCCCAAATGTCCATCAGTAGACAAATAGATAAAAAAGCTGTGGTACATATACACAGTGGGGTACTATGCAGCTGTAAGAAAGGTCTCTTATCCTTTGAGATGACATGGAGGGATCTGGAAAGTATTAGGTTGAGCAAAATAAGCCAAACAGAGAAAAACAAGTATCATATGATCTCACTTATTTGTGGAACATAATAAGCTGTCAACCAAAAGAGATCCAGAATCATGGAAGCAGGGGACAGACTGACAAACCTCAGAGGGATGGGGGTGGGAGGGGTGGGAAGAGATAAACCAAAGGACTTATATGCACAACCAATTGACATAGACATTAGGTTGGAGAAAGCAGAAGCAGGGTAGGAGCAGGAAGGAGGGGGTCAATGGGGAAGAAAGTATCTGTAATACTTTCAACAGTAATAAAGAAAGACATGTACAAAGCAAAACTATAAGGTTGAGAGGAAATAGTAAGTATTCAGTATGTTTCCACTTGAACAGGTACAGAGCCATGCAAACTACATGGTATGTTGCTTAATGATACAAACACAATTAACTATAAATAAAAGGAGAAAGAGAGCCATGGCCAGTTTTGCTCAGCAGTTAGAACGTCGGCCTGCGGTCCGGAGAGACCCGAGTTCGGTTCCCGCTAAGGGCATGTACCTCGGTTGCAGTTTGTCCCTGGCCCTGGTTGGGTTGTGCGAATGGTGACCACTCGATGTGTACCTTTCACGTCGATGTTTTTCTCTCTCTCTCTCTCCCTTCCACTCTATCTGAACAAAATATAGAAAAATGTCCTCGAGTGAGGATTAAACAAAAAAAAAAAAAAAGAGAGAGAAAGAGAAAGATGAAATTCAGAGTTGGATTTCCTCTTAGGGGACATAGAAGACCTAAATGTTTGTGTTCTTAAATGAGGATGTGTCTACACAGAAGCTTGCAATATCATTATACTTCATACATCTTTTCATACTTTATACCATTTTTATCAGGATCCTTTTGCACCTACATATGGCTCCTAAAAGATTTAAAATGTAGAAATGGAAGGCATCAGTCTCATCGGAGTATTGTGACTATCAAACATGGAAGTATTTGAAAGAGCATTACATAAATGTAAGCTATTTTCATCCACTACACTGTGCACTTCTTGAAGACAGAATTGTTTTTATTCATCTCTGTATTCACACTCGTGTCTGAAATATAGTATGTAGTTAATAAACATTTTTTGAATGAAAAAAATGGTTAAGATGAAAAAAATGTTTAATCCTCACCCAAGGATATGTTTGTTGATTTTTAGAGAGAGGAAGGAAAAGAGAAAGAGACATCGATGTGAGAGAGAAACACTGATCTTTTGTCTCCTGTACGGGCCCCGACCAGGGATGTGCCCTGACCAGAAATTGAATCCACATCCTATTGGTTCATGGGACAATGCTCCAACCAACCAAGCCACCCAGCCAGGGCTAAGATGGTGAATTTTGCATTAGCTCTATTTTACCAAAACCTTTTAAAATTTATGACAAAAAACAACATATTTTTAAAATGCAAAAGCCAGACCCAGAGCACACGCTGCACTACTGCGTGTATGTAAAGTGGAAACCGCAGTAGGCCCGCTGCTTCCGCGGGCCAGTGACTGGGGGGCTGGGGGCCTCTGGGTACCGCGATGCTCCGCTTCTAGACCTAAGCTCTGCTTACTCAGCTGTGTTCACTGTGAGGAGAATCATTAGCCTGTGCAATTGTGACCTGTATACCTTTCTGTATGCTGCATTTCAATAACATTTGCAAAAAAAATCAGGAAGCAAAATATTCAGACATTGAATACAGGACAAGAAACCACATGAGGGACAGAGGGATAGAGCAAAGGAGGAAGAAGGTAGAGAAACTGTGACTGAGCAAACCTGTAAGAACTAAACAGACAACTGGGCTAAGTGGTTCCGGCAGCCCAGGCAGAGCGGGAGGAGCTGCACCCACAAAGCCCCCCTCTCAGGAGTAGCAGGAGAAACAGCCTTCTCCAGCCCAGCTCCTCAAGGGCTCCGGGCCGCCCGGCAGGTCCTCATCCATGGTGCACAGACCGTCCCTGTGGGGCCGTTGCGCGGTGTTCCGCGGCCGCAGCTCACTCAGTTCAGGCCGTTCTGGGGTCCCCAAGGGGTGCAGCCAAGGCAGGTGGCTTCCCTGGATGGCAAGCCAGCAGCAAAGAGGTTCAACCCCTCCCCTGGCTCTAAGTGGCGGCAGGACTGCGGGAGTCCATGTGTCTCCCGCACGCAGTGGTTATTTGAAATAAGCTCCCTCCGTTTGTGGTCAGTGCCTGGCACAGAGCAGGGCTCCTAAACGTCCTCACCTGCGGTGCTCAGACAAAGCACACAGAACCTGGGGGACGGCGACTCACCCTTCTGGAAAACATGCTCGCGTGGGGTGCACCTAACAACGCCACCAAGCTTTAGGGGTGTGTGTGTGGACTTGTGTGCGCATATGTGCATTTGTGTGCGCATGATGTGTTTGCCTTGGGCGCTGTGTGCGTGCATGTGTGTGAGGAGAGCGCTAACATAGCTCACACGTGCACTGTGGCAAGGTGCTACACGAATCGGCACACTTCCTCCTCACAGAGCTTAATAACTCAGGGACATTACTATTATTATCATCACCGTCATCGTCATCGTCACTGTCCCGATATTTCATGAATAAACTGAGAGGCAGGGGGCTTTAAGGACATGCCAAGTTCACTCAGTAGGGTCAAGGTCACACCCAGGCAGTCTGGCTTCAGGTCCAGAGAATGTTCTAGGCCACAGTGGAGCTCCCAGGATGCTGTGTGATTCTACCCACTACAGCCTTGTTTCCTCGGTTCCCCCGCCCCCAGCAGGTCCCAACGGTGTGGTCACTGGGCAACAGGCAGAGGTGAGCACGGACTGCGTTGCTGACAAGAAAGGGAGGGCTGTCTGCCTCCTGGCACTTGGTGGGAGAGCCCACGCCCTGGCCCATGGGCATGGGGCCAGAGGGGCCACGCAGCAGCCTTGAGTGTAGGGGCTGATGCTCCAGACCGCGTGGTGGCCGCCTGGGGCAGCTCTGAGGAGTCCCTAGGCCCAGCATGACCAGTGTCCTGGGCACCCGGAGACACATTCCCTCTTCCTCACGCAGCTGGATCACGAGGCTCAACCACGGCTCCTGCGGGTCTGAAATGCCCTTCAGCCAGCGTGATGTTTGAAACGTTTTTAAACTGGTCATTTAAAACCAAGAGTCTATACAAAAATCTAGATTCCCAGGCTCTGAAATATCCCTGGATCGGGTGGCGCCAGCCGGAACCCCACACAACACTGGCGGACTCAGGGACACCTGTTCCTCCCGCACAGCCCCACACCGGCCCTCACCTCACTCGCGTGGCTTTGCTCGGCATTCACTCTTCTGCTCTGACCTGCGGGGCACAGATGTCCCCCAAGGGCCTTAAACAAACGGTCAGGGGACATCCAAGGGGAACTGCCCATGAGCAGACGGTCCCCCCGAGGAGAGGGCGCTAGCCTGGCATCGCACCCCCGTGCCTGCCTTCCACTCGGGCACAGGACCCTCTCCCCTCGGCTGTCCCGCCCCCGGAGTGCCCTCTGCGTCTGCTCCCCTGCTGCCTGGCCCACGCACAGTGTACAGGTCCCTCCACCTGGGAGCCTCTCCGCCTTCGGTCTGCGCCACTGTCTCACTAGCCTTGGGAATAGCTCAGGTGCCCCCCCTACGGAGCTGTCCCTTCAGCAGACCAGGGTTCTCCCGCCTGGCTGTCCATCACAGCTGGTGTGAAGGCCCTCCCTCTGCCTGGTTCCTCACCAGGGCCCCCACCCCAGTCAGCACCACTGGGCTCCCAGCGGGACGAACACAGTCCCGGCCCCACTGCGT